GTGGAAACTAGAAGATTATAAGTTAGTATTTTCTTTGGGAAATATGCGTACTAAATTATTATAAATAATTCAAAACCATCACATAGTTAGGTTGAAATTCATACCAGTTTCACAAGTGAGTAGCTATCAGCTTTTATTAGCTAAGTTGATAACGCGTTGGGGGTTTAGAACGGAGGGTAGTAGGTTCGAATACTAGAGTGCATATTATATTTGGGATGCAGGTACATACAACTGAAGTGTTCTAAATAGAATGAAACGACTACCATGGATTCAAATTACATCTGTTCTATATAAACTAAGATAAGACTCAAAAAATTCGTGGAAACAGCGAATAAAGTATGAGCTTTGTTTACCAATACAAAAACGTTTCAACCGATGTTTGGATGTTCGAGGCGATTCTGAAGAGAATGTCTATGTTTTAACTAGATAAATGTAGATTTTTTGATCAAAATTCATGATATTTACTTTATCAGTGATAGCGATCTTATCAACCGTGTCTCAAAAAATTTACACTGAGGACCACATCAAATCGATTATCTCAAGAAAGCAAATATGTGGTATCAACTGATTTGAAAAGATAATGAAATTATAAATTAACGTTAGTACAGAAGATATTGCATTCTTTCAGTAGAAAATAACAGAACTAGTTATCTTTTGTGAATCGTTAATATATTAGATTAAAAGCAATGAGATCTAATAAATACACAGTTAATTTCTAAAGTAAATAAATACTGCTAAATGACTTTTTTTAGTATTTGAGTACTATAGTAGAAAACTAATCATTAAATATGAGAGAGTTTAGTGACCCCGTATCTGACTCCGGTTAGATCGGACAAATGATGATTGTCGAAATATACATCCTGGCTGTCCTCGTATATAATCATCGACTTAAATCGTGTTAGTGCATAACGGAATTGAACAAGTCAAATACGAGAATGAATTTTTTAATATGTGTGTTTTGTCAACTCATTGATCTGGAAAGACAATCAGAGGTAAGAAGCAAAATGGAGTGGAGAAAACATGTGGGCCAACTCAATTCAAGCAAGCGTGAATCAATATTTTTTGTCGAACGAAAATAAACTGCAGACATGTGATGAGTAAGATAAGAAATGCACACATATACTCTCATATAAATACAGCCAAGGTTGATAAGTGAATAATTAACAAGGTCAAAATGTAGCTTGAGAAAAACGCGCAAATTTGTTTGTCCAGAAGCTAGAACAAGTTATTTGAGCTCGACATAGGGTCAGCCCTTACAGGAGACGATGAAAAATTGCTTTGTTCATTATTGATGATGTAATGAAAGTGGATAAAGAATTCGAGAAATACCCATAATTTGTTTAGGAAAATTTTGTACTATGTGGCATACATATTTTTGATGGATTAATGGTTCTTTTACCAAACGCTACACTTAGTGATGTATATTAGCAAGCTATTTGCTGATTAATTTTGTGCATCCAGCATACTTTCCTCTACTTTTGAAATCAGAAGTAATCTTCAATATGAATCTTTATGTTATTCCTGTTGTATTTAGTGAACTTTATAATAAGTCTATCCACTTTCTCGTTAAGATTTTAAATGTGTTAGATAGCTGGTTATTCTTGAACTGAAATAAATGAACAGTTTTTTTTTAAATCAAGTTTAATAACTGACATTGCTATCATCTATTTACTATGATGCCAGATGTAGCTATAACATTCTTTTTCAATTGCAAATGGAGCATATTGTTGTGAACGAGAACGCAAGTGGGGACAGTCAAATGTATTTAATCACGAAATCACACAACGTCTTAGTAAAATCTGAGAATCATAAAGTAAATACTTCATTTGTAAAATGTTCATCAGTTGTCTCAAACGTGACTGCTCCTTTTGGAAATCTCAGCAATCGTCTCAGACTTCACTGTCCCTTCATTCCCACAGCAATTTTTTCTGTTCTCATTTTCTTTTCTTTGATCTTCTTGATCTTCTGCTGCCAGGTATTTTTGTAAATATGTTGTGCTACTATGGGTGATATTATTACTGTTTGAAGTCTGATTATTAAAGGAAGTTACCATGGCCTAATGAGCAAATATGAATATAATATTAGATGATCAAGTAAGGACACTGAATCAGAAATAGTAGCTGTAAACCTTGAAGTTCCTTTGTCTATGTCCGACATCATAAAGAGGATTGGATTTCTGTCAATTTAAGAGCAAAGTGATGATTAACCCCATGACTTTTATATCTTGTCCATCCTAATATTTATTCTATATCATGTTCTCTAGATATTTCTCTTACATTCCGGAATATCGACATCAGTCTTTCATATGATGAGGAAACGAACAACCAGCTTCCTTTCTTAGATATATTTTTAAGTAAGCGAGAAAACGGTTCGATGTAACGATACATTTTTAGAAAACCAACTTGGACAGGCCAGTACCTTAATGGTTATAGTTGCTGCCCAGTGCAATATGAAACGGGGATTAATAATAGGCCTTTTCAACAGAATTAATCGACGCTATTGATGACGATGTTAGTCTATTAAACACAATCGAAAATGGCCATCATCTAAAATTAATAAATAAATGGAAAGGTCATGGTATGGTGAAACGTACTATAGCCTTGGCACAAAAATGTCCATCTACATCACCTTATCGTTTAGAGATGATTCGAATAGCCTTTTATTGAAAAAAAGCTTAAATCAGTTATTAACTAAACATAGTAAGTACTTAGGTTCATTATAAAAAACAAGGTCCGTGATTCCCCAAAAACTTAAGACATTGCGTCGCATCCCACAGTGCTTACCAATTTAAATTTATATGTTACCATAGATACACATGGAGGAGTAATCGTGATCTCCAAATTAGGGTGTCCGAACATGTACCTAAATGGCTGTAGAAACAAATGAAATTAAACGACTCATTAAGAGTAGATGATAAACACCCATCATCCGTTATCGCCAAACATATAATTGAAACAGGTCATAAAATTGATCTCAACACGGCTTTTGTGGTGTTGTACAAAAGTGTAAAACGGTATACACCAAGGTTTATTGAAGCCTTAACTATACGAAAATTCAAATCTTTGTTTATTCAAAAATAGTTTATTGTCACCTTAAACCTACCCTAGTAATAGTAGCTTATTATCCAAAGTGATGAGATTTCAAATTGTTTCCACATAATTTTCTTTATTATCATTGTCTCCTCTTACTCGCCATTTCTAGTTTAGTTATTTTTATATATAAATATTCAAAACAAGTATAGCTGTGATCAGATTGTTTGTAATGTATTACATTAATATGTATCACATAGTTCTGATAATCTTCATCTTCTTATCACATTATCAAAATTTATCAAAAGAACTAAGTACTTGAAATCAACAGTGATCAATAAACAAGGAAAACTTTCAAGATCATAGATTTTTTCCAACTTAATACTTTTATATCATATACCTTATATTTATCATAATGACTTCATATTTCATTAATAAATTTAATTGAGTAGCATATTTCATTCATTCTAGTTTTGAACACATAGAACACTCATGTACACAATGTACAAATATTCATAGGAAATAAACAATTTTTTTAATACAATTATTATCAGTCATTTGAATTTAGCATAGAATTATCTATTTTCTAATCTATTATTATTTAAATGTATACTAAATGATTTCCTTAATATCTTAAGTATACTTAACATAGAAATTAAATTGTATCTGTTACTAGCTAATTGACAACTAGTCAATCAATCAATTATTTTTTCCCAATAAAATTAAGAGAACATAACAAATGACATAAAGAAAAAGAGGGCAAATAAAAAAGAAAAATAAGAATATACATTTAACCTTATAAATAACTTATCTAATTATTTAATTAACTAATTAATTAATGATTCATTTGATTACTAACATTATTATTATTATTAATAGTGAAGTAATTAAGAAATCATTCAATATAAACACATTACATTCTATTTATTTATTTATTTGAAATAAAAAAAAGAAAGAAAAAAGAAAACAAAATCTATTTATCAACAGATGATCTATGTTGTTTTAATTTGTAAATCATTTAAATCTGTTGATTTCTGAAAAGAAAATAATAATAATAATAATAATAATGGCAATTACTTTAAATTATTGATTTTATTAAAAACTTAACAATCAAAATAATATCCATTATTATTATTATTGTTATTATAAGTTTTATATATTAGTTCACTTTCATAAACATGTTTTATCATATGATTATTGATTTTATGACAATTAATAATTATCATTTTAATTGACCTATATTTTTTGATTAATCATTGATTATACAGAAACAAAAACAAAAACGATCCACTTATTTAAATGTTGATTTGATTAATCTAATAGTTTATCATTAATTTGCTAATGAAATTGATTATAAACAGAAGGCACTTGATAAGTATAATCATTCTAATGAGAATCAACCAATTAATTATGTAGATAAACATGTTTTTATTTTGTACTGTTTGTGTTGTTTTGTTTTGTTTAGATAATGACCATCGTTCTGTCAAATAAATTGTATACAAAATGACTATACATTTAAATGACAATTTATTTGATTATTAATAGTGAATAATGTTGAAATAAATCAAAGTGAAAACAATAGAATTCTTTTATTTAATAAAAGTAATCAAAGACTTCATGCACTGTTCACCTTTGTTTTTGTTCTTTATCGTTTTGTATTGTTTTTTTCTAGTTTATTGCATAATATTCAATATTATGAAGAAATAAAATTAACAAATGTGACATCCTATTGTAAGTTGTAATTTTTTTTGTTTTATTTGTTGTATAATATGTGCTTGTCTAATAACGCTATTTTTAAACTACTGAGCAAAGTTGTTTCTATGTATGTTTTATTTTCATAAACTGAAAAATTTGAATGGAATCAATTACATTTGTTTTAAATATTATAATATATACTATGTTAATGAAACATTCAGTACTATTGAATAATCTCTTCATTTATGAATGTCTATGCGTAATATATATATATATATATATATATATATATATATATATGCGTATGATACTGTAAATAAAAGATGATAGTATCAGATTTCCATTGTATGTTAATAATTGACAAAGGCAATCATACCGGCCAATAATTCCGCGGAAATCCTTTTTCATATCAATATGTATATATATATTTAGATGTAATTAGATACAATTTTTTATACATATGGATCATTTTGTAATGCGAAATAAAATAAAATAAATTTGAAATTAAGTTTTTTTACTATTATTATTACTATTAGTATTATTAACAATAGTTGTTACCATAAAATAAAATAAACATTAAAGAGAGTACCCAATGACAAAACCAGGAAATAGTGATTTTTCTTTTGATATGTTTTATTAATTACCACTGAAATGGTTTGTTTCAATTAGTGAAGTTAAGATAAATGTGTATCATCGACGGTTAGCAATATTTCTGTATATTAATGAGTACCTTTTTCAGACATTATATTTATTACTATTATTATTATTATTATCCCTGTTATAAATCGCCATAAAACAATGAAACAATAATGGATTTCAATGAATTTTATGTAGTTTATAATGTAGTGTACGTTAAAAAATAATTATTATATGCAGTCAGCATTCGTGCGAATTAAACACCGGAAATAACAAAATTTAATTACATTCAAAATGTAATGAAAAAGCAGATAATATTTTAATTACAAACAATAAAATCTATTCACATATCAATTGATTGTTATTATCAAATCATCATTAATTTCATATCAGGATGCAATGCAATTCTTATTACATAACATGCAAATTTAATAATGATTAACAAAAAACAAAGCAAACTTTAATAAGGTATTATTCTTGATCTCCTTGTTAACCGATGACTAGATTTAAATTTTAAACTTAATTGATTATCATCTTCATAGATTGGTTGAAAATAATCCATTGTTTGTTCATGTAAATCAGGTGATAGATTTTCTTTTAATAAAAATATTGAAGATGAATTCATTTGTGAAGTGTTTATAGCATTCACTGGAATATTTGATTGAAATAAACTATAATCAATATGTTCACAATTATTCTTTAATGGTGACAAATATATTTTATCATTATTATTATTTTCAGAATGTTTATTTGATGAATTAATAATTAAACTATTTTTAGTCATTAAAGCAGTTGCAGCTGATGCTAATCGAACATTAAATGCCCACATTTCTCGATGTATTGCAATACTGATTATTAATGTTTTTTTTAATATTTGTATTATTTCACAATTATAAGATGAGGTTACCAAATGTTTAAGGATATTCAAGTTTATTTTTATGTAATTAATATTGCCGATGATATATTTTTTTCAATATGATGTGATGTTGCATTATTGTGTATATATGTATTTGTATGTATATGTTTGTATGGATGTAAGCGCGCGAGAAAGACAGAGGGTCAATTAGCAAATTTGAAAGATCAACATGCATAAGATTTTGAAAATAGAAGTTATCAATATTATGATCAGTAGTAGTAGGATGAATAAAAGTGATATGTGAGTGTGGTAAAAAAAAGAAAACAGAAAAGAAAAATATACAGCAAATAATTACGTGCATAAATAATGCTGAATCAATCATGCAGTTCAATGTAGTACAACTAAACATGCATTAAAATCCAGGAAAAATCAAAATCTAAATAGACTAGTCAATTAATTATACTTTAAACTTCGTTTACCCAGCAACAGAAAAGAACATTCAATTCAATTACATCATAGATGTCAGAATACGGTAGTTGAGAGTAATGCATTAATTAGTTGTCTAACAAATAAAATCTGTGAACATTAATCAAACGTTTTCTTTAGAAAAAAGACATCTCTGATAATCATGTTGACTATTTATGAAGAAAATGTTTTTAGTCAAAACATTGATTTGGGTCAATTTAGTGAAATGAAATATTTATGAAGGGATACTCTAAGGTTTACGTGATCTAAATACCTATTGTATTATTTCAAGTTTTAAATTCATTCTGTAAATTTGTTAGGTTTAATGGTATTTGATTGAAATTTCAGGTAAAATATTTTCATTAGTAGTTTTGAATAAGATAAATTTCTTTAGAAAGTCTACAGAATTCTATTTATTTCATGTTTATACTTCTTACACAAACTAATCTTATGTTTGCATTGATACAGTAAGTGTTCCACGACATTTAATCTTACATTTTGACAATCCCTGGATATTACTTATTATTCATTAATGTTCTCGACTATTCTTTCCTGGGATTTTGTGAAAAGACTTTGTTGTATTGAGGAAAATGCTAAAGGCAGTTAGCGGGGTGTATGGTGAATCTTTTGATGTCATTAGTGATATGGTTGTGGATAGACTGGCAGGTATTATCTGATGAGATACTAACCATTCTTTTTATCCATATCTTTCTCTCTGTATATTATCCGATAGAATGACACTTCAATACATTAAAATTCATGCACACAGGCAAAGGCATAAAAGTTCTATAACACCGTATCTAGCAAATATACTATGTGACGAACAAGTTGTTAAAGCTGACCTAGTCAATAACTTGTATTCTTAAACATGTATCTAATTGAAAAATTGTACAGGTTCACCTTTTCTTTTCTTTTTTCTTGTTTTTGTAAAAGAAATTTGTTGAAATACCTCTTGCTGAGAATTCTATATTGTACCAATATTTAATATTGAATAAAACCATTATTAATATTAGTGGGAAATTTATGATGAATCACTTTAAAATTCTAATTGACTAGTCGATTTTCATATTATAACTAGTTATTGTAAATTTATTATAAAATTATGAAAGAATAAACCACTAGCAGTGAAAGTCATTTTAATAGCTTGAATTCTATTATAAGTAAATCCAGGAATATTCGATGTTGAGTTCGTATGTTTACCAGCACCCATTTTACTGAATATATACAGGACTGTGGGTATATTATACTGAATAGTCTAGCAAATAACTATAACATATAAAATTCCAGATGATGGGCTTATTCGTCAAGAAGAAACCCCATTCTACCCAGAAAGCTTCATGTAAATCTGAAGGTAAGCCATTTATCATAGTGTAATATAGCACTTGATATAAAGTTATTCGAACTTTTTATATTCAAATATTCTATTTTCACTTTGAGTAAAGAATATTAAGATTAAAGAACAGTTAATAAGTGTAGAATAAAAGAAGGGAAGTAAGAACGAGAGATGTGATCACCAACCTGCTGTTTATAAGGAATTGAGCTAAATTTACTGAATCCAACTTTCCAGAAACTGTTATTTTTCTTTCTTTTGCACCATCTTCACAGTTGGATATTTTGATTTGTGCTTTAGATGCGTTTCTAATTTCATTGATTGTTGTACCACCACGTCCAATAATACAACCAATCACATCATTAGAAATAATCATCTCTCGGACAATAATGCTCTCTTCTGTATTAGCCAAAGAAAATAATGAATTTTGTTGTTGAGGATTTAAAATTGTATTGATTGACAAGGATGGAAGACCAAGTAAAGATGCTGTATTCTGTAGACCACGAATTGATTTTATAGGATCTATTGGAGTTGAAAGTGTTGTATAATTATTATTTGAGTCAACAGGTAATGAACTATTACAGATGGATAAATTATTTGGCGATGCATTGTTACTATTATTATTTATGCACATATCAGATTGATTAACAACTATATCACTAAGACTATTAGATGTTGATGTTGTAAAGTGATCTTCAGGCAGTCTATTTGATATTTTAAGAAGAGCTGTAGGTGAAGAAAACATATAGTTATTAGGTGAACCAACAATTGGTAAAGTAGCAGCTGTTGGAGTTGGATAACAACCAAGTATACCAGGAGTAACAGCTATTTCTGACATATTCAAAGGTTGTCCAATGGAATGCATACCAGTTGCAATTGGATTTGTATTTGGTAATGGAGCCAAAATCGATGAAAAATATGATTGAAAGTTAGCTAAATCTAATTGATTCAATGTAGCAAACAAATGAACTTGATCTATAAACAAAAGACGAAGAATAAAATTTATTATATGATGAAAAACATAATGTTGTATGAAACCCTTTTACAATTTCAAGTATTAGGTAAATATAATTTAAAATATTATTAGACGTAAACCATAGTAACTAACGTTTTGGCATTGTATGCTGGGTCAACCATTATATCAAATATTTTTACAAGGAAATCTGACACTAAAGATTATTCTATGCAATAATATAAACAATGAACATAATTATTATAATTTTGTTACAGGGAACAATATGGTTTAAACTATCATTGATGCATAAACACACTCCTTTTTGGTTAATTAGTGTTAACTAAGTACTATTGAAAATAACAAATATCTGAAGTATAATAATTCTCAAAACTATACTAGAATTATTGAAAAGAATTCTGTTATTAACATTATTCTATTCAAAGAATACTTAGAATCACCTAAAAAAATAAGACTACATTAAGCCAACTTAAACTAATTTGTTTCCATACCATGTTTATTGATGTATGGCAGCATAAATGTTCTAATTTGAAGAAATTTACAGAACTATCAATATGCTTAAATGAATATTCTTATATTGACTTATATTTCTTGATTTAATTCAGAATGCTTTAAGGCAATAATAAGCATTTTATTTATATGTTCCTTACTGTGAAAAATTGGTATCTATTGTGATAGATATGAATACAACTTTGTTATAATCGGACGAAAATAAATGAATGGTAACCGTTGAGAACTATTTATGGACCAATACGATACATACATTCTTTATATACAATTGTCAAGTAACTAATATATATATATATATATATATATATATATATATATATATATATATATATATGTATTTTTCTTATTATAAGCTCTTAATTAATCTATTGATTACTGTCATGTGATTTATTATTCTCAAGTTATTCTCAATCAATTAGATATAGTTTCTCATAATCATAACCTTTTCTTAGCTTGATCTTGTACAATTGTTATTTTTTATTTTATGGTGCGATGTCGTTTGATTTGTTTGTATATAAACCCAGTATGTTTGAAACATATGATTCGTATCACGGACGCTGAGTTGAGGATGTTAGACTACTGTTTATGTTTGATCATCGTTGTTTCCGAAGGATTGCTGGCATCCAGTGGCATCCAGTAATGCAGAAGTTCGGCATCGTGTGTTCGGGCACAGAAACGACAATCCAATCGGTGTCACCATCTTGAAACACCGACTTCGGTGGCTTGGACATGTTCTACGAATGTCGTCCTAGAGAATCACACGTCGTACATTATTTGCCGATGCTGGGACTGGTTGGAAAGAGCGGAGAGGTGGTCAGTGTATGACATTGTGTTGTGATATGAACGAAAGCTGCAAAGAGCTGACCTCTGTTGGTACTTCACGACTCCCTGGTTGGGGTCTCAGAGATGGTGCAACACAGTGGCTAGAGACGTTATCAGATATGGCTCAGAATAGAAGCCAGTGACGATCCTACTGTAACCTTCTTTTACTTTCTTCATAAAAAGTGGTTGCTTCTTCTTTAACTGAAAGATTTCTTCTGGTTGTACCTTTCTATTTACCCCAATATTATTATTACACTACCTTACACTAGTCTGGTCGTTATTGTTCTTCTATTGTTTTCTTTTACTCACCTTACCTTCTTTTTCTGTCCCCATTCTCATTGTTATTGTGTGGCGCATATATATGTGGTGCCCCTTTGTACAAATATTTATTTGTTTAAATAAATTAATAAAAAGCAATAAAAGGACCAATCAGAACTCTTGGCTTCTGGTACTCATGTATGCGTCGTATAAGTCAACATTTCGTATTTCTCAATGTCGTATAGCTAAAGACATAATATACTTTTTATACATTTTATCATTTTACTTAAAGTTTATGAATCTTATAACTAGTTCTTAAGTGTTTATCAACTTTAAAATTGGCAATAATTATTCAGGAGTTGTTGTTAAACATCTATACATCTATATATTTATACACCAGAATATCAAGTCACATGGATTATTGACAAGATGATTGACATGTTTAAAAAAATCTAAATAATAATAACTTAGAAATTAATCATGATTTTTCCAAAAAAAAATAACTTTTATTTCTATTAGATCTCCATGAATTAATTATAGAATTCATAATAGACAACAGAAGAAAATGTCGAAGAATTTCAATTGTTCAAATATCTTGATAAATAAAATGTGTAAACAACAGGTGAGTGGATAATCACATGAAGAGTCTGCTTTACTTAGTTTCTTGTTAAAATTATGATATATAAAAAAATTGCAACAAAAATAAAGAGAACCAGAAGCAAAGAAAAAAGAAAACAACAACCAAATAAGGCATGTTATTTATGTATTATACATCGATATACAGGAATATAAGCAGACAGTTATGATTGTATAGAGATACTACTTTTAAAATTAAAATAGATCAAATATGTATTTTGCATTTTTAAAAAAAATAGAATTAAAACAAAGTAAATTTTTAATCAAAATACCTGGCAAATTAATCTTAAAAAAATTTTCTTTATTCATTTTGTTTTTAAATTTTATACATGGTAGGAATATAATTTAATAAATGAGCCAATCAGATTTAAGATAGAGCATTTTGAATTTTCGCTCAAAATTTGTTTATCTATATGACTAGATAACATTTTGATATTATAGTTGATATTAATTCGTAATGAAAATCTTAAATTTAATTCTTTTTTAAATTAATTTTTTATTCTTTTTGAACTCTAGTAGGTGGGTAAATTTTCATAAGGGTACTTTGGCGTCTTCGAAAGATTCCACATAAATTATAGTCTTACCTTAAACATGAATAGATATTATGTAACTATAAAACTATTGGATTTTGCAGTAGTTATAATAATCAAGTCAAAATCATAGTGATTTATAGTGCTGAATGTTTTCGAATTCTGGTTGAGTGTTTATCATGTTTCATTTTTGTTTAAGAACGACGTTCTCTAAATAACGTTTTAACCTACGTAAGCACAGAAAGGAAAATTCTGTATCGGATTTTTATATTAATGCTATTCTCATAGCATTATTAATAAAAAGATTAGTTTAAATAACATTCGTTTTTCAACATCTTTAAATACATTTTGTAACTTATTATAGATAATGTCATTCATTCAATTAGTGAAGTAATCGACGTTTATGAAAGTCATCCTAGATTTGGTCGTGAAAAACAAAGTTAAATTAGAAATACATTGTTTTATATTCTAAAAATACTACCATTCTATGTTAACTCGCATAAACTGTTATCATTTAACATAAATAAAGTTACATTGTAAGCAAAGATAGATAATGGGTAGCGATGGTATCCAGAACGCAAGTTTCGTTCTATTTACAATGCTTGTGACTTAAGGCAATATTGAGGTAATCCTCACAGGATGCAAATATACCAATAAGAGACTGAACAATTACAGTCCTAAACATCAATGAAAAGATTTAAACAAATAATATAAAAATCGACCAAATGTGGGTACATGTTTAGAAATAATTGACTTTGAAGAATATTTACCGCGTTCCATTGCTGTCATGATTAGAGGTTTCTTGCGATGAGTTAATTTCAAATAACTTAATACCATTAGAATTCTTCAGACCATCTATAATTTTACAAAGATTGTCACTGACAATAAGAAATATTGAGATATTTGTTTTATTATATTTACTGTCAATGAAGTAAAATTAAACATACCTGTTTTATACAGTGACATACAAATAAATAACAGCTAAAATGTTTCTCATAAGTTTCATCAGCTCAGCTATTTGTTCGATGTTTAAATGATCGCCAAAAATCAATACTATTATAATCAGAGAGGGGTTTTGTGAATATTATAATAATTTAATAGTTTAATTCATGAATCAACTGAAGATAGACATCATAGAAAACCTAGAAGCACTGGACGACCGTTTCGTTCTATTGTGGGACTCCTGAGCAGTGTGCATCCACCACCTCACCCCCGTGAGATCCGAACTCAAAGCCTATCAGTCTCGCGCGCAAACGCTTAACCACTAGACCACTGAGCTGGTTCAACGGTGTTAATGTTTGAACTCAACCAATCCACGAAATTGTGCGACCGTTAACTCTTGTCTTCTGTGAGTTACTATCTCACAACAGATCCGGTTGAGCTTCACAGGTTACTGCTTTTCACTATAACTGCAGGAAATACCTCTTGGAGACTGTCACTAGTGAGCATTCTATGTACAACTTAACTAACTGATTAGCAGTTATGGTTGATAAAAAACCATAAAAACATCACTATTAAGGTTTCTCAGCTATATTCAAACTATTTGAATAGTTAACTAAATAACAAACAACAAAACAAAACAAAAGTGAATAAATTCAGTTTGATCCTGTTGGTTAACAACAAAATGGTTAGAAAAATCTTACAAAAGCTGGTTACAATATTAATTGATATGACGATTAAGTAATGTAACATACTTAATATCTATTTTTGTTTATACTGATTTCTGGTTAAACCAAAAGAAATAACCACACAACAAAAACGTAACAAAATAAAATCTGGTAATGATTTTAAACTCACGTCTCTTAAATAAATAAATTTAAAAAAAAACAAAAAAGAAAAACAAAGGAAATTGACCGTTATAAGTTACTATCGGAAAAATATATTTCTGATTAATAACATCCTGTATAGTCTTTTAAAAAATGTCTAATTACTCACATTTGAAATAGTAAACCTATATGATGAATATATATATATATATATATATATATATATATATATATACTACACTTCTTTCCTTTTTATCTTCTTGTTTTCTGCTTTCTACTGAGTGAAGGCTATAATCCTATTTCGTTATTTTCCACCTATTTCTGTTATATATATATATATATATATATATATATATATATAAATGATTTTTTTCATGTAGTTTGACATTTGAACATGGTAAATAACATTTAAACTTTTGTCATTAACACTTGAATATTTTGTTTAAACTAAAATAAATATTTTAAACTAAATAACATTTAAACAAAAATAAATTAAAGTTAGATGTACACACACACATACATGTATATGTATATGGGTAAGAATTATGTAGCAAACTATTGTCAATTTTTTCTTCTAAAGGATATACTTTTATTATATTTCTTTATAAAATAGTGAACTAAAACAAAGACATTTTTATGTTAATGTGTAAATTTTATGCTGAAATTTTCCTATACAAAAGGTAAGTTTACTTTTTGTAAACAAAAGCAGATAGAAGTCTTGTTAAGGATAAGAATAATGAAAAAATAACAGTAAGAAATAATGAATATTCAGTAATTATTTGAAATAATACCTCGATAATAATTGAAATGAAACAGAGTTTTAATTATTAAATTCATGAATTAGAAGTGTAGAAATATTGGACGACTGTTTTGTTCTAGTATGTGATGCCTCATCAATGTGCATCCATGATTTTGCACATGCGACTCGAACTAAGAAGGGTTAACTTGTAGACCATTGAGTTGGTCGGCATCCAACGGTGTTAATGTTTAACTTTAATTGATTTATGATCTTGTGCAACCATTTATTCATTGTGTGAGATGGATAACTGTCTCATACCAGACGCGGAATGCACTCTACTAGTCATAGCTTCTCACTAGAACTATAAAAAGTCTATCTGGAAGCTAGTCACAGAGTTCTATTGGAAATTGATTACTGAAAGTAATCAGTGATAATCGTTCATTTATATAAGTTAACATTTATTACAAAAATTTTATTGATGTGATCACATAGTTGTAACCTTAATTTTTTAATAAAATTACCAAATTATCTACACTGATAACAAATAATGAAGTGAACAGTCATTTAACAATATAACATATTGCACTGTTTTAAAGTAATACTTGTTTATTTCTATTAGACATGATTATCAATACTGATAAAATTATTTTAATTAAAAGTAGAACAGAACAGATGTTCAAGATTATTTAATTATTTTTTTGTTTTGCTTTGTAATAAATATTATCTTTGTTGTATCGGGACGAAGAATAAGTGAATAGTAACCGCTAGGATCTATTTATGGATTAATATTATATATATTCTTATTGTATAACTATTCAGTTATTAGATTGTGTATATTTATAAACTTTTATTTAACATGTTGACCATTATTATTATACAATTTACTATTCTGAAGTTGTGCCTAATTTATTCCTTACAGTCTCTTACGCCCACAGCCACTTTTCGGCCTGAACTTGTATAATTGTTGTTTTCTATTTTATGGTATGATGTGATCTGGTTTGTTTGTATATAAACTCAGCATGTCTGAAATACATAATTCATTTGGTAAAGGCTGATATTGGTGTTCTGGACTAAAGTGGTTGGGTTTGGTCAGAAACTACTATCGCGGTTGACCAAAAAGAACTTAGAGTTGGATCTGGACTGCTTGTACTGATTTATGAGTCATTGGTCTGGTCAATAACTTAGTGTTCTAAATGGTGATAATTAACAGACCCTAAGGATATAATCTTTGAGTAGTCAGTAATTTGAATGTTATTACAAATAATTGGTAATAATGAATTCTAATGTCAATTTCATGAAATATAATCTCAGACTAGCATATAAGTCAAATAATTCTCAGTGATTTTGTAAGAAAAGACAACAACAAGATGTGAAGTACGTAAAAGTTGCATTTACGTATATATTACGCAAGAAAATACTAATCAGTATCGAAAGACCGAATCCACTGTGTGTTGATTAGTATATATATAAACCCTAGTCATCATTAAGTTAAAAGACTAAAACGTACATGGCCATGATGTCATAGTTTTCAGGAACTCTCGAGGTAAATAAATCAAAACTTGAAATAGATTCATATCATTGGTCCTGACATATTTTTATTATCTAAATATATTAGATTGTTATTTATATCTTTCATTGACAGTTCTGTTAGTTTTATTGATTTTTAAATTCGATAATAATTATAACAACAGGGTAAATGAAATTATTTACTTACCTGAAATAAGATCTGACATTTGATTAACTGGTCGACCAGAACCAATTACTGTTAGAGGAGATTGAATAGTATTTGCTGTAGGCAGATTAGGTACAATAGATGTATTATTAACACCACAGCCAACATTACATGAACCAGATACTCCAGTTCCGCCAGATAAAATACCAGATGGTATCCCAAACTGATTTGTATAAGTTCTATTTAAAGTAGTTGGACTAACAGAGTTCACTTCGTTAGATAATAACGAGGTTGATGTTAACATTGGTGTAGTATATCCTGATTCATGTGAATTCTTGTTTTAGTATAATAATGAATAATGAAAAGCAAGTGAATGTAATAATTAATCACTTTCAATCTCAATTTCATCAAGAAACTAAAAATCCGTCTATAAAATATTAATAAAATTTTAATGGTCCAATCATTGATTAAGATAAGGTGGTAAATTCAGGAATCTTCTTTATCACTGAATGTAAGATGCATTGGAATAAAGTAATCGAATTAGATCAATATTTACTATTCTTTACTCATTTCAAAATTCACGCAACTTTAAGAGCGAGTTCATAATTCAAACAAATATCATATAAAACAAAAGTATTTTTTTAAATTGAATAAACGTTAAAGGTCATATAAAGCCAGATTTTAGATACCTTTGATAATGTTATAAAGAAATGTTTACAATAGAATTTAGCTAACTATATAAATGACTTGCAACAAATCTCAACTTCTTAAACATTGAATATATAAAATGTATTTTAGGAATTCACTTAAACAACAGATTTTTAAGCTGTTCTTCACTCATATACTCTTATACAACATTTATAAGTCTAAACATTGATTCATAGAACATATTAGGTTAGGACATTAGATTACATATGTATATATATACACAAAAATGGATACCTAACTTTTATTATAACCATAGTCAAATGCAATATATATTAAAGATTATCCGATTATATTTCATATTTACAAGATAAACGATTTGTTCTAAGAAAGAATGTATGTTATTGAATTTAACGAAGAGATTTAAACAATCTTTGTTAAACTTCAAAGAAAACTATATCTAAAATAATGTGTAGGCTTTATATCTACTTCTATCATATTCATTCTAAAGGATAGTCAAACAATGTAATCTGAATAGAAAGCATAACAAACTTCATTTTGTTTTGTCTTTCTTTTTCCTTTTTATAAATTAGTTTACATTCAAGTGTAAAGTGCACCATTTTTCTTTTTAGTATACTTAACGATTAGAATATTCCAGTCAAATGTAGTATGATTTATATTTAGTCGCATGTTAAATTTCTTTTATTGAATACATACTGAACAATTGAAGAAAAAAAGAGAAAAAAAAGAATAATATTCAGCTTCTGATTGATGTTTCCTTCTTTATTTGGTTAAAGCATATCGAGAGAAATATCATTGATAAATTGAATACAGTAGTAAATGATGTCTAGAGTTCGTTTATAATATTTTTATAGATATATTGAAAGCTTATTAACTTTCAGTCTGTTTACGATTATTCTATAGAATCATGTATTCTATTGTTTGAAAATATAAAGTGATTATTTATGATTATGAAAGCATGTTTTATAGTTAACTTTAATAATCCGATCAAGCGTTGTATTTTAAGACTAAGATTCTTTACTCTCTCATTTTATCATTTTTAGTTTATTGATGATTTCTGTACAATTTTATTAGTTTTCAAAGTGTAGAGAAAAAAGAAAGCAAGCTGAAGAATGATGATGATGAGTAATTTAGAGGCCGCATTTATGAAGCTACAAACGTTAACAATAACCGATCATATTTAAGTAAAAAGGTTCTAAATATTTCACATAAACACGATGAGCGAAGAAACGTAAAGCATTATTTCATTTTGATTATGCATTTACAAAACAAATTTCATGTTAACTAACCTCGCATACTGAAAGTGGAAGTCCAGACAAGTTTGAATGTAGTAAACCAGATGAAAATGTACTAGCAGGACATATTAATCCTGGATTACCAATCACAGGTTTTGGTCGATAAAGAATGACCGGACCTTTATTTGGGCACTGTGAATTGAAAGCGATAACAATTTGTTAGTGATACTTTATTCTTAATAAATGATGTAGAAAACTGCTGTGAAACAAACAGACTAAAAAGCTATTATATTAAAAAATCTTTTATCCTTAATCATATATTAAAACTGTGATTTTATTTCACATCAAGACGTTTTGTTATGGCAAATCTTATTGTAGCCTTAAAAATATACTACAGACTATATCTTGACACCTTTTACAGTAGCTAAAACTGAACGACATTTACCGTCTTTTATTTTCACATCGAACTAAGAGGTTAGGAGAAACAATTATTGTTTCTGTGATTAAAGGAATATAAAACCAAGCTAAGCTACTTCGTCTCGTGAGACAATAATTTAAATTAACACACTATCTACAGATATATTTTCTATTTATCACAGTACCACCATAGAATCACTGGACGGCCGTCTCACCGTAGTATGGGACTCCTCAGCAGTGCTCATCTACGATCCTGCACGCGGGACCAGAATCCAGGACTTTCAGTTTTGAGCGCAAACGCTTAACTTGTAGACCACTGTTCTGGTCGGCATTCAACGGTGTTAATGTCTAACTACCATCGATCCATGAATGGATGCGCAACCATTCATTCATTGTCTAAGGTAGATACCTTTCTTTACACAACACGGATTGGACTCCACTGTTTACGGTTCACAAGTTTAACCATTAAAATTACTCCAATCTGCACAGACCTCATTCCGATAAAAAGCTAAATAATCAATCAATAAGATCATATAACTTTCCACTATGAAATTATATATTGTATCATAGATCATTATTCAAAGTCTATTACGTATTAATTATTTTTTTAAAAATCGATATCTTAATTTCTAACTCTACCATAATATTAAACAGGAAACTTCAAATTGGTTAGATAAAAATATTTTAGTCAGTGTAAAAGTGAAAGATATCAGTTTTGAATTCAAAAAAAATAATCACATACCTCTAAAAATATATCACACAGTAATCGAATACATTTAGAAATTGCATCAGCTGTACCTGATATTGTAACTGTTCTTTCTGTAGATGTCGGCAAAGCTTCACTAGCAACTTGAATCGATGCACCAGTTAACTAAATGTTTGATGAAAACATGAAATATCATCAATTCATTTCTGTATTGTTTGTTTGAATCTTTCCATTGATGCTTAGAACTGAAATTGATTCATCTCTTATTGTCATATGTAAATCCTATTCAGATTGCCTTTATATTGCCTTAAGTCACAAGCATTATAAACAAAGACAGATAGTGGCTAGCAGTGGAATCCAGGACGCCTGTTTCGTTCCACTTGGGACTCATCAGCTGGATGTACCTGCATCCAATAGTTGATGTTGGTACATCTGACTGACGAGTCCCGATTAGAACTAAACAGACTTCCTGGATTTTACTGCTGATTATCATCCATCTCTGCTTAATATCGAGACAACCGTCACCCGATGCACATATGCCAATATGAACCTGACCATTTGCAGTCCTTAACAACAATAAGGCGATACAAGCAAACAATGCCAAGTGAAGTATAAGTTAACGACAACAACTGACATATAAGATTTTTAATTTAATGGCTTATTGACATATGCTTTCAGCAATTTCAATAATAAAAAAAGCAGAATGTTCTTAGTTTAACAATCCATAGGTTGTCATTGTTGTTTGTTTTGTTTTTTTTCCTATATGACTATTTCATTTTAAATGTTTCTTCTGTTCATTTTAAATCATTTTTCATAAATGAATAATATTTGATAATTTGCATAATTTTATTTTCTAATGAGAATATATTCATAATATGTAAATGATTCTCATCTCTATTACCAATTAAATGAAACGGAACATCATGCAAATCAGCTAACAATAATAATAATAATATTAATAATAATAATAATAGTAATAATGATAGTAATAATAATAATCGGGAACAGGAAGTACGAGTAGAATATTCCTGAAAATGTAGGATTTTTGTTTTTAAAAAAAAGAAAAGATTCATTGAACCAAACATTAAGCTGAAAGACTTCCTAATTGTATGTTTAGTGAAATAGTTTAATTTAGTTTAATTCATATACTTACTAAGACTGTTTATTGAATAGTTTAATAATTACAATTAATATTACATGTATGTCATGTAGAATATATATGTAAGTCAACTAAATAAGATGATTATAATCTATGTGACCTGAATTTATAGTATACTATTTTATGTAAGAAAATTTCATTCTATTTCCTGAGTTTCTTATTTGTTTCTATGGCATAGTACAACATTTTATCCATTAATAGGATACTGTGATAATAAATCAAGTCAACTGTAAATATGATTTAAAATTATGTATTTTTCATCAAAGAAAATCTTGTCACAAACATTGTATGTTTCTCGTGAATAATTGAATAAAACAAAATTAAAAAAAAACCAATCTTTCAAATAGAATTATCTCACTGACTAATGTCAATATTGACTGAAAATGAAGTTTATAATGTACAACGAACACATTTGAACATGAAACAAGGTTTAACAATTATAGGTGAACACATGATATTCAACATGTTATCTGGTAGTTTCTAAGCATGTTAACAAACTAAAGGAATTTTTTTTCTTCTCTACATGTATTCAAACATCAGTTATGAACATAAATATTTACGCAGTTCAGAAAAAGTTCAACCATAAGATTAGATAAAGTAAAAATTGGACATTGATTTAACTTTAATAAAAGTAATATTCTTTAGGTTTTTATCACATATAAATACAACTAAAGCCCTCTCTACTAAAACGAATAATAATCAGTTTTGTTAAACCGGTTAGAGTATGATACCTTGCATCATATCAGTTTCCATCTATTAACTATATTACTGTATAAAAATCGTGTTCATCATCCTAATTAAAAATCGAAAATAACCCTTTCATGTTATTCCAAATTACGTTCATAAATTTGGGTGTAACTGTTAAAGAAGCTACACTGGTCTAACAGAAAAGGGGGGCGTCTCTTGGATTTTTTTAAACATGTTTCCTAAAGCTTTCAAACAACTGAGAGAACTACTTTAAACAGCGCAATTACTAAACATCTCTTGGATACAGGACATCAAGTCGGTACTTTGCAATCTTTCAAAGTGATTGATAAACAGCCGAGCTCCAGTTTTCTGACGTTTGCTGGAGCCTGTTCTATCAGGTGTCAGAAAACTGATTTAAGTGTTCAAAAGCAGATGGTTGTTAGTCTTTCTTTGCCTTGATGAAAAAATATTACTTACAACTCTTTACTTCAATCAGTTACATCATTATGTCTTTTTATTTAGACTGTATTTAAGTTCAGTGATTTTGTTTTAATTAACTGAGCTTAAGTCATTTTATTCTTACTTATTATCAACGATTACTCTGTACGTAACGAATTGTTTCTAGTTTTTTGGACTTTTTTATATTATTTTGTTCAGTATATTAGATTTATCTACACCCTTTTCTGTACTTACTAGTGTGTCTTCAAAGCAACATCAAACTAAACTCCTTGATGTAAGTAATTTAAACCTATTTTGTGTTTAGGACTTTTAAGTATCAAAGGTTGTAAGCAGGTGATGGGAAGCAAATGAAATAAAATGAATTCACGCTGTTTTTGGTCTCTTGATAATACTTACAAATAAAACTAACATTCTATTTACCTCGCTCATTCAACAACACTCCATGTTACATGCATTTCAAAAACAACATACTTCTAATTGTTTTGTTATTAAGTAAATGTAGATTTGTTTTTAGATTCAGTTAAGTTAACATAATGACACTGTCGAATAAGGACAGATTACGGACTGATTGTAACCAGAAGAGTATTGAAAACCAAGAGACATGGTTGACTAGTATTTTATCTCAGATCACAAATGTTAAAACTTTATCTACCAGTGCGGATTTCGACATTTAGACCCTAATGACCGGTGAAAGAGTGTAAATGATAAATTTCAGTTCTCAACAGTCTCATAAGATATAAGAAATTTTGGTATTATGATATATCGTCAATGATGCATACCATTTTACTGTTTAAGGGAGAGGTGACCTGGAATAAACATATTTGAATTTGGTGAAATGTTTTCATTTTTAATGAAAATATCAACAGAAAATGAAGAATGGGTAGACATTTTAGCAGCCTAAATAAAACTGTATCGAACATTTCAATAAAAGAAATGTAGTGTTATACTTGTTATAATAATGTATCGCATTTGACAATTTTATCTTTAAGTGTTTGATTTTGAGTCATACACAGCGTCTTGGCTATCCGAACCACCCACGATGTTCAAACACAGAGAAAAATAATAAAGATCGCAATACAAAGTAATAACTCACTAAAACCTAAACAAAAGAGATGGGAATATCAAGAAATAGACAATATATCACAAATTGCAATTCATTATCTTACCTCACGAACATCTTTAATCTTAGATCCTCCCTTACCAATTATTGAACCACATTGAGCTACTGGAACTAATAAACGTATGGTCACTGGAGGACAGTTGGCTGTTTCATCACCCATCCGTAATAAACCTTGTGTAAAATCCTAAAATTTTCATAAAAATATGTATCTAAATATTTTATCATGAATTTTAAAGAGGGGATTGTTATTATTGTTATTCCTTTAAAAACTGTTCATCTAAAGAAGACCATCATAGATCATCAAACATTATATAGCACTCACCCAAACAAGTATATCCTAATAGGAAATGATAAAGTGGGATATTTACATTTGCAGGATGATGAAATAGTTTTAAATGATCCCACTTCTGTTCTACTTATTTTTAATAGCAATAAATTCTATCTACGTTTTTGTCAAATAACAAATGCTTAATTCATTGTGCTACACAACTTCGTACAAGATCGTTTATTTCTTTTGTGAAGCAAACAAACATGTGGAATTATTAGCGTCCGTTTTCACTTCTTGTGCATTTCTATCATTGAAATTTACAAAAATATTTAGCCGGAGATTTTAAGAATATTGATAAACCACTTATAAACTTTTGCTGACAGATAGTACTACCAGAACATACTACAAAATATCATTTTATACATAAAGGTGGTTTGGGCTACCTGTTCCTGCCATTTAGATATTTCAGCAAGCTATCTGTTTTCTTATTTGTTTCAACGCATCATTATGCCTATTAGTCTCATAACCTATTCAGTTGCGTTTGTAAAATGTTTACGATATTTCTCTGTACAAGTTACAAAACAGCATAATCAGAGACATTGTGGTTGTTGGCAATATACATCGAAAAGAATATACATTAATCATATGTCGATTTCGGAACTGCTAACATCTAACTGGTGACCACTCAATATTTGTCGCAAGAGTCGATCAAAAAATAAGAAGAGGAATCTTGTTTTATTACTTTATGCTGATAATTTTATGTTGTACCAAAAATATAATATTGAATAAAGCCACTAATAATAATAATCAGAAGAAAAGTAATTGATCTAGTAAACATCTTTGATAAAGTCAAAGATTATCAAATACAATTGGCTTACATCTTCAAATTTACGACTCATTAGCGTAAATGCAACATAAATTTGTTCTGTTGTTCCAGTTATAGTGACAATTCTTTCTGGACTAGATCCATCTGATATATTAATTCTGGCTCCACTCTGAAATAATTCATTGCAAGACAAACACATAAACAAAACTGAAATGAAATAAATAGATGATTTATTATAGAACATTTATGTAACTATAGTAATGAAGTCAGTAAGTTGTCTAACCTCTGTCAATAATATTTATATTAGGTATTTGAATATAGATGACCATGAATATATAAGGCAAAGCTAACACTGAAAACAAATGATATTACTTCGTAGTAAACGCTATAGTATATACTTGAGATTATGGATAATACAGTCAATAAGAACACGATGAAATGTAAAAGTCAAGCATTATATATAATAATTATTTGAAAAATAAATCCTACTTTGAGTGTTAACGATTCTTTATCATTTATTCGAATCTCCTGTAATTACTTACAACATATCATTGTGGGTACTTTAAAGCTTATCTATAGTCTTTCTAAAGGAATCTGTCCTACAATATTTCGTGAATGTTTTTACATACTATAATACAACGTATTTATTGAACAATATCTGTAATTGTCAGTATGTATTTATAGAGATTGCTTAACTTATTTGAGATCACTAACCGTTTCGGGTTTGTAAAACGTACCCATCGAAAATAAAAGGAACTGTACAATTGTACAATATTGTTGGTTGATCAAACTTTAACTCAAATATTATCAGAACCTGGTTCAGTTGTTTAAAGGTTAAGGGTTCACGCGTATGATTCAAAGTACTGAGTTCATTTCAGTTTTATAGCATAAACATTTCAGACTATAATACCAAAATAACGTATATTTATCTTTTTCAAGTAATAAGATTTTCCACAGTTATTTGTTTAAATCAATATCTAAATCCACATGTAACACATTTAAACATTTAAAACATTCACATTCTTATTTATAGAATTCTCACAAACTTACTTCTTCTCTATATTTTCTAACATTTTCTCCTCTCTGAAATGAGAAAAACATATTTTATATCAAAGATGAAATCATAGATACATATATATTTATATTTTAAAAAAACTTATACTACTGATTTGGTTGCTGATTCAAACAATAACTTCATATATTCATGAAACTATTCATTTGATATAAGTATATGATCTTTATTAGGCATTTAACTGTCATTTGGACAATCATAATTTATATGTAAATATTTATTTACCAAACAAATATAAGTCATTTTAATAGTTGAGATCATGAGTCAACTAAGGCTTGACCACCAAGAAAAACCTGGAAGTACCAGACGTTATTTCGTCCCATGGTGGGATTCCTCAGCAGTATGCATCCACGATCTTACCTCCCAACCAATGCTTCCAGGTTTATCATGGTGATCTGGCTTTAATCGACTCATAATCTAAACCATTAAAATTACTATAATATCCACAAAAACCCTTCAAATAAAAGTTATTTTAATTTTTGTATACAAACTTAAGAAAAAATGACAGATATAAATGACATATATCTGGAATGATCTTATTAATGGAGAAGGGTAAAAACAAAAAAGGATTTTCTTTTCTCTTAAACATCAATCTTCTCAATTTTTTTTGTAAAATTATGAATGAGAAAACATTTGAAAAAAGCATTTTTGACAAATAATATTTGAAAATTTTGCATAATTCTGATTGGTTATTTATGAATCTGACAGGGAATTTTATAACTTAGTGATAGTCTTACTCGTTTAATTAAAACGGTTTAGTTTTTTTGTTTGTTTTAACTTAAACCTTCAGTTAACATAGAGATCAACCGATTATTTTTAGTGGTCATAAATACAATGGATTATAATTGGTGAAAAAACACTAGTTAATAGATACTGAAATAAAAATACCAGATATGTATAGATAGATCCCACAATGAACCAATATAGGATCAAGAACCACTGGAAACTAAAAAGACTTAAAGATCCGTTTCGTCGTATTCTGAACTCATTAGTTGTGTCAAGTCATAAACATAAAAGTGGTAGAACCCTACATTTTTAAATAATGCACAATTCCCTAAAACTAGTGGGCCGGAAATCAGTGGCTCATATTGTTACCTTTAATCTATCATTTAACATAGTTGACAACATCCACTTTACTGTCAAAATTATACAGGTCGGTTGATCATTCAACTGATTCATTTATTGTTATGAAATTATCGTTGGTATTTATAAATTGGGTGATTTATTTTGATAGTGTTGCATTTTGTCAGTTGGATGGATTAATTGGCAAGATTTTGTTATCATTCTGAACGACATCATCTGGGCTTCCTTTTAACTGGAGTGCTATTCTTCTGGAAGTTATTCGATGATGGGTACATGAATATTATTTATAGAAGAGTCTAGTTCAAGCCATTTTGTAATCAAAGACTCATCATAAAACTTTAAAATATTATATCTGTTGTTAGGTACTAGTGGTTAAGTTAGAGAAACGTATGGAAAATTTCATAAAGTTAGAATACATTTCGTAATTATTTTAATTATGTTTATTTTTAAAGAGAATTTCACTTAACATTAATTCATCAATTATCTACTAAGTAATCTAACCAACTGTTGTATTCTATAGAAATACATATATTTTCATTTATATTCAGAAATATATAAACGGATGTTAATAAATCTAAAGATTGAACTGTCTTACAAATAACTGAAGGATAAAGCTTATGATTTCTCATATACACAACAAATTTTCTAAAAATAGATGACAAAGTAGCAACTACGTCATAATTTGATAGAAAAATAGTATTTGGATGTAGATATGAATTTTTCAAGCATATTATATCAAAAGGTAAAAGAGAACTTCTCAGAAATGATGAAAAGTCCAAAAAAGAGGCTGGTGCATTGTTGAAAAGTCCCACACTAGGACGAAACGGCCTCCCAGTGCTTCCAGGTTTTACATGATGGTCTAGCCTCATTTGACGCATGAACTAATCATTAAATCATCATAATTTCTACAAAACTTCTTCCTTATAATAATCATCATATGCTCACTAGTGACGGTCTACAAGAGGTATTTCCCGCAGTTATAGTGAGAAGTAGTGACCACTGGACCACAACCGGGTCTTTTGAGAGAAAGTAACTCACTGAAGACAGTACTGAACGGTGTCGCAACTTCGTGGATTGGTTGAAGTTAGACATTAGCACCGTTGGATGCCGGCTCAGTGATCTAGAGATTAAGCAATCACGCGCGGGACTGTAGGTCCTGGGTTCAAATCCCGTGGGGTGGGATCGTGGATGTGCACTGCTAAGGAGTCCCATACTAGGACGAGGCGGCCGTTCAGTGTTTCGAGGTTTTCCACGGTGATCTAGCTTTAATCGACTCATGAATTCAACTATTAAATTACCATAATAGCCACAAACCCTTTATCTGAAAATAGAATATTATCAACGTGCTGATATGGTACGTTCTATTTAAATTCGGATTCATTGTAAATTTTCAATGAGTATCTTGTTTGACAACCAATTACTCTAAAATTTCCATAAATGTACTTACCTGAATTTAAGGACTAGTTTGTAAACCATATCTAAGTTTTTATTGAAGATTAATACCCTCATTATGTTTTTGTTTACATTCACCAGCTCACCTAAATCATGCGATTAATGTACATAAGCTGGAGCCAGAATTTCATCTTTGACAGACTTGAAAAGATACATAATATTTATGTTCTATAAGGTTGAGGTTAAATTGGTTACGAGTTTGATATTCGGACATTAAATTGACATTCATAACTCATTATTTCGAAGTGACTTACAAACTTCAGGTAAATTTAAATAGATTTCTTTCTTTTCAACTGATGATAACAAAAGTTATGGTTATCTATTAGATAAAATCTGAACTATATATTCAAACATCACATATTTTTACTCTATACTTATTTGATGCTTAATCTGGTATTATTGCTACTATTATTGTTTTCATATCAGATATTTCTATATTTTTGAAGGTCTTTCGTGACCCTTTAGTTTATTCCTGTTCGTTAACTGTTTTCGATATTAGTTCATTGAATCGTTCTACATTCTAATGTCTAACTAGAAAGTTCGAAAAATTTGCATAAATTAGTTTATTCTGCATACATTACAATACTACATTAATTTACTGATTGTACAATTGTTACTAGATTGCGAAGATCTTATAGACGTTATGTCATATTGTATGTTAACCTGTCTTATTATATTCATGATTATTCACTTTTCACATGTCATCAAGGAATTACGTCCTTTCAACCTATGACACATATAACAAACATGAATATTCTTTGCTAAACTTACGAATGCCTATATGAATTAAACTAAACTAATAAAAAATCTCATTTATTCTTTCGAATAGATTTTTTTCATGAAATATCACAGCTTTCTAGAATTTGCATCCGTTATTATTCAATGATTTAGCATCATTGTGGAATTTCTTTTCATGTAATTAATATAACCAAAATAGTCAACACGGTTTACTTACGAAACAAGTTTTTACCAAGGCAACATTTTGTATAAGTATTTATTTAATTAATGTAGATATTTAGGTGTAAAATCGAGCAGACATTGTTGAAGGATAAAGATTATTATTAACTTTCTATAAATAATTGTTTACAAGTGGTATACATCAACTCTGAAATGCAGGTACATCCAGTTGGTGAGTCCTAAATAGGACGAAACATGCATCTCGAATTTCACTGTTAACCATTATCCATCTTTGCTTAAAATAGTTATGTTGCTGTATATTTTTGATATGTTACATTCATGCTTACAGTTCATTTTGTTTTCCATGAATTAAAAAGAAAAAACCACTCATTATGAAACAAAGCAATATAAAGTATTTAATTACTACGTATTCATTACTTAGTAATGATAAGTTAAAAATAAACTCTACCAATAATCATCAACAAAACATAAAAATTAGGCAATTTAGATTAAAAGATGCCGCAAGCTCAGTGATAAAGTAGGTTAAGCGTTTGAGCATGAGACTGAAGGCCCTGAGTTCGAATCCCGTGAGCGGGATCGTGGATGCTCACTGTTGAAGAGTCCCACAATAGAGCGAAACGGCCGTTCAGTGCTTCCAGGTTTTCAACGGTGGTCTAACATCAATCGGTTCATGATCTCATTCAAAACTTAATAATCTCCACATCCCATATACTGATAGTTAAAAGAAAATGTTGAAATGAATTTCTTTTCTCCTTTTTTTGTTTTGTTTTTCTTTCAAATGAATTAAATAACAATAAAATAAAGTTGAATTTAACAAAACGTATTATATCTGTTAATGAAAAGATGAATAAACTTAGATAAGTTTGCTGAAGAAAAGAACAACATGTTACCAATATTTATTATGATCTTAATAAAATGATAAAATTGATAAACATCATTACGCGTGCACATACACACACATACATACACACTCAACTATAGAAGTAAATACCCTCATGAACATAGTACACATTCAAATTAATACAGTTGTATATAATAGAAAAAATGTAGGTCATTGTTAATTAAAATAATTATTGAAATATGTGTATAATAAAACGGAAGAGAAAAACAAAAGTAGAATGATCGGGAATAAGTTATGTAATAAAATGAAATTTGTTTTTGTATGTCTTTGTAAAATAATCAACAATTTAACTGTTCTAGATATTAGATATTAAATTATTTTCATCGGTTTTTTTTTGATAAAGAGATTTATTAAATGAATTGAAGTTAAGTACTTCTTTTATCATGGAATTTGATAAATTTCGAATTTTTTTTTCCGGTTATCGTTTTTTTGGTGAATTAGTTTTAGGGTCGCCAACCTCATGTCCGACACACCTTCTTTACTCGGGTTTCGGGTAGGAAATAGCACCTGAGGGACTCCGGGCGACCTATGCTCCACTTGTATTAACAGGTGTAAGTAAGTAAATGATAAATTTAATGTTTAGTTATTGTGATTTAGAACGTTGTTAATGTATTACCATGATTGACGAGTTTTTGAATCAGTAAATTTTTTTGATTG